CATGACCTATCTCTCGACAATTTCAGCGAACTACTGACGATTGCATGATCAACTGACTCTGGATGGCATCCACATAGATCGCGGTGGTCGAAATAGGATCTCAAACTGACTAGGATTTTGAACCGGCAGAATTTGAAGATTGCTCGCAGGCGACCCCGCCAACCTTTCATATCCTCGATCAGGCTCTAGCAACTATTCAACATTGGTCGAATGCGGATTGAAGTTCTGAACCCTCAGTGACGTTTCCTCTACTGACCTTCATCGAGCTGAATTGGATAGGTGATTCATTCATTCATTCAATTCTGCTAATGTATATAATTCTTTGTCTAATGGCTACTTGGAACATCATTTCAAGCATGAATCAGTAGAAGACCAGGCTCTGAGTTTGCAGTATGGTCATTAGCTCATCTGGATTGGTTGCTATATGTTATATGAATTTATCTATTTGTTATGGCTTTATGAGATCGGGGGGGGGGGGCACGCCTGTGTAAATATATATTTATTTATATATATATATATATACACAGGCATGCATATAAATTCAAAATAGATTGATGTAATCAAGTATTGATATATTATGTGATTCAGTCACTATATATGTTATATGTTTGAGAAATCCCTTGTCACTTTTTATTGTGAGATAGAGGTTAAGTAAGAATAGCGTGAGCTAGACTTCGCCTCTCAACATTTCACTTGTATCGTAATATGTACATTACAGAAAAAATTAATATTATTATTTTTATTATTATTATCTATTTCCTGAGGGGCAAGTTGTGTTTGGAGGTCTAGCAGGAAATTCCTGCGTATCATTTGAACCATTTTTTTTCCTCCAGGCTCCTGAGGGCCGAGCTTGTTGAAGAGGTTCTTCATGGACACAACAAAATCAACAATCCTTCTTCGTACTCCTTGGGTTTATGATCATATTGCAAATAGCTCTCTTCCAGTTTTGCTACTTGCTCCTTCCAGGTCGCAAAGCTATGTATCTTCCACCAAAGGAGTATACTCTCAATAAACAAGTATGAGGCTGAGAATAGGAGTTGTTCATGTGATACCAATCTTGATTTTCGAATTAACTCGAGTATTTTTAAGAAGTTTTGAACACTTTACTGCCCATCGAAGGTGAACTTTCGGGTTCCTGTCGATATATTGAGTCGCAGTTTTGATAATTTCATGTAAAAAACGAATGTATGTATTTAAAACAATGGGGGACAATTTGAACAGTTGCTATGATTATTCATGTTGATCTCATCATGAATCTTCATCAGATTCATTTCCATAGGTGATTCAGCATTTGTTTGTTTCTGGTAGAATCGGAAGATCTTGTGAGGAGGTGATCTTGTCAAAAAAGAATTGAAGAATATCAGAATAGACTTGTCCAAACCGCACAACGAGAACTTCAATGGTTCCAGACTCAGATAGCACACAATCGCCTAAGCCGGTTGTCCTCAATGTTTCTTCAAACTCCTGGAGACGAAGTTTCATTTTTTACAACCTAGGAACATTATAAGGCGTAGATTTAGCACCTCGATTGTCCTAAATAAGTTCTTTCAGTGACAGCTTGAGGATGTGAAGAATTTCGTGCCCATGGATGACGTTCCATAGAATAATGTGTCAGCTAAGTCAGGAGGCTGAAGAATAGAAACTAGAATTGACGTTATGTCTCATATGTCCCATGAATTATTGTTCAAAATACATCATCCTAATAATATTCACGATAATATAATAATCATCAAACTATTCCCTGATTGCATTCATATGATTGTTTTCTCCACAAAATAATTACGAGAAGAATCTTATTGCAACAAATTTGAAAGATATCAATCAATACAAGGATTATAATCTGTTGATGACGACATTTTCCCCAGAAATCATGGAACAGAGGTGAATAAATCAAATAATTCATATTGTTGTACATGGAATATCAATACAATGTTTGTTACAGGAGGTTATCAAGAACAGAAACTTGATAATATTATCAGAGCAGAAATGTCTCATGAGATGATATTTTCGCTTTTTCGGAATCCACGAAAGATTGTGCTTATACATGCTTGAACAGAAGAATCAGCATCAGAGGAAGTATATGTCCAGACTTCAGGAAATCACAAATAATGAAAATGAAAGGTGAGTGAATCAAATCAGAGATACTACTGGACATAAAATATCAATACATTACTCATTTCAGAGGGTTATTGGAGAGACAAACTTGATGACATCATCAGAACAGATCAAGACATTTTATTCGAAGATATTTCGACTTCTTGGAAATCTGAAGGAAGATGAAGGCATTAACTTCCATTAAATTCAGCATCAGAAGTATGAGTAAAGGGATGAGGAATCACAAATCATAACAAGAAGAATTCAATCAACAAGAAAATAAGAACATTACAAGGATCATAATATCATTTCAGAGATAATGCTTTCTCCTTCAGGGAACGAAAACAAAAGTAGGTCTATCGAATCATGGATGTTACCGGACATGAGATATTGTAACGTTGTTTGTTCCAGAAGGTTATGGAAAACACAATGCCTAGGGTTCAGAAATCAAAACCAACAGGGAGAAATTGACTACCAATAGGCAATAACTCATAGTAGTGCTTGAAATGAAGCTGAAATACATTCCTTCAGAATTAAATCAGCAATTCTTCAGGATTGGTTACAGATGATGAAATGTAGGTATTTCATTAGAACATATATTGATAGGAACATTCTTTGAAAATCATGAGATCCATATTTTTTGAAAAATTATCATTGTGTGAATCTACCTATTCCTCATTTGAGACCAGTGCTGAAACCTTTGAAAATGGTGGAAAGTGACAAAAAATTATATTAGGATAGAACCCATTATTCAAAAAGGAATATGGCGAGGATGAAAGAAGAACTATTTACAGGCAATCTGAGATTGGCAACACCAAGAGCGTGAGCTGTTATCTATTTATTTATCCATTTACGAAATACAAACAGGACGTTGAGGTCCTAATTATATGATTTTGATTTTTCAATCCCACCTAGGAACTGAATGTAAATTATTTAGGTTGTATGAACTATTATACTAATATACCTCCATATGCCTGGTAGAGTCAGATATCATATAATTTCTATTTGTAAAATTCGTATGGTATATCGAGGCAAAGGGGAGAGAAAAAAATTCGATTGTAGAATATGGAAGACAAGGAGACAACTACTGGGCTAGCCTGGAGGAAGAGTACCATGATTATTCGTAATGTCTTGCAACACTTTTTCCATGAATATGATTTCATCATCAGAGCTTTCAAACGACTCGCGGTAATAGAGAACACGTCTATGTCAAGTTCATTCGAATACTTGTTCAGGAGAGAGCAACAATTGTCAATTATGTTTGGCCTTCTAGGGACCGAGAATATATTTTTTTTTTGTCTCAAATTTTGAGACGGGACCATGAATTTGATTCGAGAAAGAAGATATGGACTGTTTATGGAATTGGCAACCAATTTGCAAACAAACGAATATCTGCACGTTGTTCTAATTTGATCACTCCAAACTCTTCTCTATGAGGTTCATAAGAGACGTAACCTGGATTCATGTGATGTTTTCCATAATATATGTATGATATGAATTTGTTTTGTGTTGTTTCCACTGCTCTTTCCATAGCAAGGGTCGATGGTGCCCAAATTATGGACACAAATTCAAGCCGACTGCGGATTAGGGAAGTGTAGAGGGGCTTTAACGTTGCTTTATTTTTGAAATCTCTTCTTGCTCTTTCGGGAAAACCGAGTAGTCTTCGTGCTTGACTTGTAATATGGTCTATGTGTATGTAAAATTTAAGAGAACTTTCGAACATCATTCTAAGGTCGAGAATTTGAGATAATCTGCTTATATTCTGATTGTTGATCATATAGCCTGAGACAATGGCATTCCGTGAGCGACTGAAAGATAAAGTTGAACACTTCTGTATATTCATTTGGAGTTTGTTTTCCACAGTCTCATTGAAAATCGCTGTCAAATCATTTTGCAGAATATCGGTGTCGTTCAGACCTTTGATTCCGCGGAATATTTTACAGTCGTCGGCACAGATGAGACGATCCGATGATACAATGGCTGATAGATCATCTATTAATGATGTGAAGAGAAGTAGACCAAGATTAGAGCCCTGGGGCATACCTGATTTGGCTATGAAATATTCTGACTTTTTGCCCTTGAATTCTACATATTGACATCTCTCGTGTAGATAGTTAGCAAGTATTGTGAGTAGTTTGTTACTGCATACGTACGCAACGAGTTTCTTTATGAGTTCATCGTGGTCAACTTTATCAAAAGCCTCAGCTATATCAATATACACACAATCAACTTGACCCTTCCTCTCAACTATATCTCGCGATTTGCAAACGAATGATGTGAGGTTGGTATCAATAGACCTTTTTTCACAAAACTCATGCTGTGACTCTGATATTTTTTGCAGACATGCCCATAGATTATTTCATATAATATGCATTCGAATAACTTCGAAAAGCCGTTTAAAATGGCAATTGGTCTATAATTTTTTATGTCAGTCATATCATTGAATTGGTATATTCATGAAAAAGAGAATGCGTATTCTCAATGTATTTATTGATATATCCACGTTTTCAAATTCATGATATAGGTTTATGAGAAGATCTCTTCTCAATTGATCATCAAATATTTTAATTCAGTATTTTCTTGTCACGCCCTTTATGATGGATATCGATTGTTTATATTCAGAAAAAATCACTATTTTCATTTGTGTGTTTTTTGAGTAACTGTGAATGAATTGAATTATAAAGAATATGTCCTTGACAAGCATCTCCGGAATCATCATTATTCTATGTTTTTTTCTATCCAATTATAATATGAGATCCATTCCAAAATGTTCGGTTCCAATCAACATTGTAAGCAAAGAATGCGTGGGGGCTTTGAAAAATCGGTCTAGTGAGGGGTTAAATAGTAGTGTGATTCCTGGTTAAATATCTTCAGTACTTCAGAAATACTTGGTTGATTGAACTTACTCATAACGTTATAGAAGATTTCATCCGAATAATGACGGGGATCATTGAATCCTCCTATGAGTTGTAGCTCTATTCGTCCTTCTGGATATCCTAATGCTAGTTCTTGAACTCTCTGCACCATGGTACAAACAGCTTCATCTGTTCCAGAGCCATCTAAGTGTGCCATGGCAACTGCTCCAGATCCTTTAAAAAAACATGATGTATCAAATTTGCATTCAATTCATAATCTATCAGAATTGCATAAATACTATCGTTCGATGGTCATTTCTCACGAGTGTGAAATTCATGATTCCAGTAGAAAATCATCCAAGATGATTATACACTGAATACTTTGTACTGCTCCAACATATCATTGTAGCATTTCAAAATGCTACTTCATTCTCTGATGCTTTGTGAGCAAGTTATGAAGTGCTGTGTGGTGAGTGTGGTGAGCCAAGGCTGGTAGAACTGATGATTATTTGTCGAGGGATGTTGCCTCGATCGGAAATGCGGTGGGGAGGAAAACAGTCATTCATGACATAACCGGCAGTGATGGCGCGTTCACATGCTGGCTTTTTGCCTTTTGACTTACAGCGTATCCTCATCTCATTGGCCGATTCGTCAGAAAGCGCTTATCGAGGTCATAAGCTAGAAAGTCGGTTTCAGTCCGACTTTTGCGGAAAAAAGCTCAGATCGTTTGACAGAACCACACAAATATTGACAAAATGAATACATATTGGTGCTATATCATCATATTATGCAGTGTGGAAAACAGTACTGGAAAAACACTCCTAAAAAATGTGATAAATGTGGTTTCTGGAGGACGTACAACTGAAATTTTTCATGTGAACAGTGCGCCCGTTTTATTCAAGCTTTCTGCTGTAGGCATAAGCTGGCATGTGAACTCGCCATGAGGATGCAAGATGTCAACGTCAAGCCTAAAGCAGAATGTCAAAAAAATGTTGTTATTACCCAGCAAACATCGAAAGGCGGTAGAAAGCCGGGCCCATGGCGAGAACGGCGGGCAAATGTCGATGTCGGCATGCCTCGAAAGGCCCTCCATATAATTTCGAAGGATTATATGACGAAGGCAAAATGTACACATACTTATGATGGGCCTCTGTTTCCCAGCCGCTAGTCTTCCGCTGTATGTATCCAAGTCCAAGGGCCATCAAAATTTCAACGGAGTGTGCCGTCATCACTCACTCAACGTTGGCATCCCTCGCTCGTATGAGTTTTTATTTTGATCATTTTGCAGTGGTAACAATGATTCAGCATGGCGTATATTAATTTCTTTGTTTATGTTGTTTCAACACTCTCAACAGAGATTTTAGTATTGTGTTCAGTTCGTGTTTGGTTTTCTAGTGGATTTTTATACAAAGTGGAAGGATATTGAAATGAATACAGAGTGAGTGAGGAACAAACATATATACAAACTTGCACAGCTAAATAATGCCCCTATTTTAGATAATAATTTAACAAACACCATTGGACAAACAGATGCAATAATAGTTTGGACATGTTTAGCGGATACACAAGAATCTGATAATATAATAATATGAGAACTTTGAAGAAGCATGAGCTTTCATTACATATGAATCATAAATCTAATTTCGAAACGAAAATCAAAGAGTACCTACTTGAAGAAACAGTTACCTATATTTCAAGAATTACTGTAGGTATGTATAATGTTGCATGTTTTGGATTAGTAGAGAATGAAATCATTCAATCTTTCAGCAACAAAATCAACAACAACAAGAGTACCTACTTGAAGAAACAGTTATATTTCAAGAATTACTGTAGGTATGTATAATGTTGCATGTTTTGGATTAGTAGAGAATGAAATCATTCAATCTTTCAGCAACAAAATCAACAACAACAAGAGTACCTACTTGAAGAAACAGTTATATTTCAAGAATTACTGTAGGTATGTATAATGTTGCATGTTTTGGATTAGTAGAGAATGAAATATCATTCAATCTTTCAGCAACAAAATCAACAACCAGCAGCCCATCAATCACAGATATTAATGAAGAAATCACACAATGATCCAGACTATGATATAAATTTCTTCATGGTATATGATATCTCACTTCCAGGCAACACTCATATCAATATGATAATCCCATATCTGGGAATTGTTTTCTTGTGGATTGAACTCTATTGTTGACAATAACTTGATCAATATAATAACTGATTACCTACATACATAACTTTCAAGTTATTAGGTAGGTACATAGGTGATGTAATTTTTGACCTAGAATTGGCAACTTTTTGAAACAAGTGGAGAAACAAATATCTATCCTGCATGATGAAACACAAATACCTATTATTGTAAATTGTAGGTACCTTTTCATGATGAGTATACAGAGTGATATGTGGAACTAAAATTAAGATGTTTGATGTTTCCATAGTTGTGATATGTATTGTTTGAGATCATGGCAATAATATACACACATGAATATTTTCAGTTCTTGTTTTTGTATGGGGTATTTATACTGCTAGTTTCCTGGAAAAAACTGTGATATCAGGATTTTTATGTAATCCTTCAACAACTTCAGGTAAGGAGTGAATTCCACATTTCTGTTATACCCAGAGGATTCACAAAAAACTGGGAGACCTCAATTCTGTTTTTTGAAGTTCCACATTTTTCAACCAGTTTGAAAATGAAGAGAGTGATGAAGATCTGAGTGAAAATGAGATACTTTGCTTTCCAAGTGGTGATATAAACTGGGATACCTATCAAAAAACTTATTTTCACTGAGATATATGCATTACCCTGTATATTTTTTGACAAACCTAGGTGAAAAATAGGACATCAAAAAACAATACCATGAATATTGAATTCATTCAACCCCGTTAACCAACAGCCCTGAAAAACTCCTCTATTGGGGGAATAAAAATTCTCAAGCGGCCAATTAATGGCAGTCTCAATCGGGCCGAAGATATGCCATGAATGCGGTACATTTGAGTACTTGCATCTGCCCACCAGAAGCCCTGCAATGTAATAAGCGGCATACTGATGGCTCTAGAGAGGCGGTCGGCTGTCGGCCGCCGGGACACGGGCTAGCCGGCCCAATTTAGTTGTACAATAGAGGACCGCTGTTACCGCTCGCCGGCAAGTTTCATTGTACCTTTAGAGGGCCGCAAAAATCATGTTTGCTGGGTAGGTATCTCGGAATGCTGTCAAAATCAGATTCAAGATGGTTGCTGTACCCAAACAAATAGCTGTCATTCCGTGACTTTTTTAGCCATATTTTCAATTGAATTTAAAATGTGTTAAATGCTGCTTTCTTCGCTTCTTTGGTTGATAATTGAACTTTATATACTTAGTTTTATTAGGATTGCATCATCTTCATGAAAATTATTGAATAGTTGATGTGTATTCCTGTGGTGTATTCTGGACACTATTTGGATAGGTTTTGCTTGGTGTTTGTGTTATAACTATGTTTTATTGTGGAATAATCAATTGTAAGAGTCGGTAATAGGTATCGTGATAGCATGAAGTTTCATCGAATCCTGAGTGTCTTGAAATTTGGACATAAATTGGAACAATGAATTATCAAAAGAAGAGACAAGTGGATAAATAGAAATGGTTTGATGGAGCAGAAACTCAAAATGTTGAGAGTTTGCAGCAAACATTTCCTACCTATTTGGTGAGTTCACTGAAACAGGTAATGAATAGTAGTAAATATAATAATAATGGGAATTTTAGGGAAACCTGCATATCTATCAGATGTTAATAATCCTAACTGGGCTCCCAGTTTATTTTTGGGATATGATAGCTTAGCCTCTGACAACCAATCTAAGGAAAATATCAATGATATGGAAACATCAGAATGCCAAGCTGAGGCTGCAGGACCATCTGATTTCAAACAGGCTGCAGGGCCATCTAATGAACAGGCTGTAGGATCATCAGATTTTCAAGATGAGAACCTTAGTATAGTAGTTCCTGAATGTGATAAATATTCACAAACAAATATCACAGCTGTCAGCCTAGTGCTGATCTAATTATAATTTGATAGGATTCTCCCCACAAGGAACAGTGTGTTTGATCAGTGAGGCTTGTAGAGAAAGAGCATCTGATTATCCAATAACAGTCAATTCAAAATTAATAGATAATATTATTCCAGGTGAGTTTCTGTACAAGATCAGTTGAATATAATTGATACCAATCTTTATTAAATCCAGAATTACTGAAAGAGAATAAACTTTTTAAATTAGTTTTATTGACTAGAAGCTAGAAATCTTTTATATGTATGGAAAAACTAATTTTATTAAACAGCATGCACTGTTGAAAATGTTTCACTTGTCTTGACTTTCAATCTATTCATGTATGTCTACTGTTCTAACAATCTTCCTGAACTCATCTGAATTTCAAACAGTATCTATCCAACTTTCAATTAATACAAATTCAATTTGTAGGTGATTTGATTTTAGGTGACCATGGCTTTTTGATTGGTGACTATGTACAAATTTTAAATGCCCAAGTGAAGATTCAAGCTTTTACAAAAGGAAAGAAACAATTACATCCTACTGAGATTGTGGGAACTAGAGCTACTGATGCCAATGTGAGAATTCATGGGGAGTGAATTATTGGTGCAATGAAACAGAAGTACAGGATATTAGCTGATCAACATGCCAATTTCACTTATAATGTGGTGATGATCCAACTCTCCACAAAATAAATACAATTTGCTGTGCAAATATCAACAAATGTCCCCCGATTGTTCAATTGGACTGAATATATTATGTTCTTGATTGATGAAGATATATAGTGATAGAGTTGTTACGCAATATAGACAAATCTTTGATAAGTAGGAACCAAATATATACAGCATATCACTTTGAAAGCCCCTTCTTTTATATCCCTCAACTGACTCCTCAATATCTTGATTTTTATGAAATCATATCAGGAATATTTTGGCATAAAAACTAACTTCATATTGTTCCTCATGCTTCCAAACCTCTATGTGCAAAAAAATCACCACATTTCAAATTGACAGGATTGGCTTAATTTTTTTTTATTCTCAGCCTGGCGAAAATAGTGAATTCAAACTGCTAATCATGATTAAAAAAAAAGATACAATATTTTATGTTGAAGTCACCATTTCAGAGTAAATAATGATAAGATTACATTTGCAAAATTGCTATTTAGATATGCCTGTTTTTGAATTTTGGACAAAACTAGTTTGCTCACTCAC